AGAAGAAACTAAGTTAGACAATATTGACGAATTTACTGATCTGTTCTCTAGACAAGTCGTAAAGGCACCTGTCAAGAAGAAAGTCGAAGTCAAGACAAAGATCCAACCTGTTAAGATATTGGACAGTAAGAGATCGCAAAACGTAGGCATTCTTGCACAAAGTTTACATGTCGAGTTTTCGGAGATTGAGAATGCCATTTACAATTTTGATACGTCTGTAGTCAGTTTAGAGGCGTTGCATCAGATATACGAACTGGTCAGTATGTCTGCACCATATTCTTGATGTTACTAAAAAGCCTGTATCTTAATTAATTATTGATTTAATTCTGATTTTATTAATTTTAGCGGGCCAGTGAAGAAGAACTGTCTTCAATAAAAGAGCACCTAAATCACAAACCAGAGATACCACTTGATAGGCCTGAAGCATTTCTACACGATCTGTCTGGAATACCGAACTTTGCTGAACGAATATCTTGTTTTATGTTCCAAGCTGAGTTTGAAGATGCTGTCAGCACAATGATGCACAAACTAGATAATTTGAAACATACTTGCGAGGTGAGCCTTTTTAAAATATTTTGATGTTGTACCTAATTTTGAAGCTGGTTACTCACTGTGGAACAAACGATTCCACACAGAGAAAGGTATATTTACCCATTAATGTTTTACTAAATAAGAGAAATTAATAAAAGAAACTTATTTATTTTGCAGTTTCTAACAACTAGTGAATATCTGAAGAAATTATTTGCCATTATACTGACTTTAGGCAACTATATGAATGGTGGTAATGGTCAAAGGGGGCAAGCTGATGGCTTTGGTCTGGAAATTCTTGCAAAATTAAAAGATGTGAAAGTAAGTAAAAACAGAAATTGTTATAAACTTTTTATTCAGGTTATTTTTCAATTAAGTATTTATATTTTACAAGATGAATTACTTGAGATAAGGACAGAAAAGAGATTTGACCAGTGACCCTACTCTTTTAGTAAGACTAGTACAAACACCATGCTCCTATATTCACTTTATGCAGTGCACAGCATATTGTGGTAGTTGTAAAATGATGTTATAACAAATCAGTACATTATCATGATGTTTCCAGTCGAAGCAGTCAAACGTGACACTACTCCACTTCATAGTGCGGACATACATGCGGTCGTGCGGCGGCGCGCTGTCCGACGGGTGCGTGCTGCCCGTGCCCGAGCCGGGGGACGTCGCGCGCGCCGCCACGCTGGACTTCGCTGATGTAGCCACACATCTCTCCACCCTCAGGAACCAACTTGATGGTAAGCAACATTACATCAATACAATACCAATTGTAAATTGGAATGTAATATTTAATATAGACGTTATCTAAAAAAGTTCACCTTATCTGATACAGTGAGCTATAAATATTCTACATTGTTTTGTGCAAATTGTGATTGATATGGTCATAATGTTTTCGTTACAGCATGTAAAGATAAAATGAAAAAAGTAATAGAGAATGATGCTGACAAACGCAATCTTAATGAAGACTCTCCAACCGATGAGGGAAAGAGAAAGCTAGAGGTGTTCCAAGATAAGATGACCACATTCCTGAATGCTGCTGAAGAGAAACTTAAGACTGAAAATGAAAACTTAGACGAGTGCCGAATGAAATTCATTGCAACCGTTAAGTTTTACCAGTACACTCCTAAATGCGGCAAACTGGAAGACTGTGAACCAAAAGAATTTTTTTCACTCTGGACCTCATTTTGTAGTGATTTCAAAGATATTTATAAAAAAGAAGAACAAATTGCAATTAAAGAAAAGTAAGAATATCTTCATAATTGTCCAGTTTTGAATTTATCACAATTATACATACATTCAGACATGGCAGGGGACTTCTTTTTAACCCATTTATCCTCAAGCGGCCACTGGTGACCACTCTCCAGTAACTACATTATAGACCTTATTTCCGATGTTTAGAGACTACTTTTTTGTGAACAAATTGGATGATATTTCAACAGGTTAAGAAATGGTTTTATTGTTTTAGGTTAAAAGAAGCAAAGAAACTGCAAGAAGAAAGAAAACCACAAACTCAGCCTAAGAAGGAAGGTGGTCTCAAAGCGCGACTGCAGAAATTATCTAGTTCAAGGAAATAATACTAACAAACAAAAGAAGGACTAATTGTCGCCCTGATTTCATGCACAAATAGTGTACTAACTCTTACTTTAAAGTACATTCACACATAACATTCCATATATAATTATTGCATTCCTGATGAGAAATAATTACTGCTCATGCATTTTGTGTGCGTCTACGCATCTGTGCCTATCCTTTTGAGGAACAATCACGTAAATATTATGTGACAATATCGTGTAGATACATTCCTTTTGTAAACTGTTTATTTTTGTATTTAATATTTTGTTTTCTGTATGGAACATGGGTTGAACAAAGGCCTAATATTTTAATCATAGCCATCATATTATTTTCTCACCAGTTTTTTAACTGGCAGTTTATGGTAAAAACAATTTTAACATTACTGGAATATTTTATTTACTTATAACTTGCAGAGTAAACTAATTTGATTAAATGTTACATCTAATTTATAAATGAACAGATAAGCTTTACAATTATAACACATAATCCTATTTAAGGGTTTTGTGTAAATATAAAATGATGATCATCAGAGAATCACTTGTTGGGAAGGCTCCCTACAAAAACTGAGATTTGTATCATTGAGAATATCAAGTTATATTCCTGCACATATATTGTACCTGATATACTGTTTTTTAATGCATTATGTTAATTGAAATGCATAATTGTTCAACTAAAAATGGTGCTGTAACAATTGTTGTATCTGTAAATATTATTATTTAAACAATATAAAAACTCAAATATTATTAATAAATGCTTTTATTACATGTAATCTAAACATTTTTGTTTCCATATTTTTTGGAATTTCTTATCTATCTTCCTGTTGGTATGAGTGTCACATAATTTGAGTAAAGTGTTTTTAAGAGCATGCCACTGCATCAGACTCAAATGACTTGTTAGTGACTTACTGTCCGATTCATTCCTAAACATTTCTTCTACTTCAATAAATTTTTTCAGTGAAGTAGAATTACTTACAGTTTTATAGGAATGCTGTCTCTCTTTCTTAGGTGGTGGCACTTGTTCTTGTTTACCATTTTGACTAGAGTTTAAGAGAAGCTTAAAGCTTTCTCTAGATAGTGCAACACCATGATCTATTCCTGTTATTTTTGGTACCACAATTGGGGCCTCTTCAGTTTTTACAGATATTGGCTTAATTTTCTCCTCATGTTGGGACTCAATTTCATTATCATCATTTTGGTTTACATAATCTAGTATATTATCTAACAAATCATTATCATCATCATTCAAAGTGTTATCAATGTTAATGTCTTTCTTCTGAGCCCAATCAAATTTGCCAAACTCATCAATATGCTTCAAGTCTAACCACTGGTCCAAGTCTTGTGGTAATTCATAATTGTTAGGCAGGAAATCCAGTCCTTTCATTTGCAATTTATTTAAATATGGGTATAAGTTTGAATACCAGACAGTACTCTGTTGGAGAAGCACCATACTCATAGACCACAATCTACTCAATAGTGCATAAGGAAGTAGACTCATCCAGTGACTCTCTGCCCTCTTTATTCTATCTAAATAGAATACTGCTGCTTGTTTTGAACAGGTGGATATCCGTACCATTATTTTAGCAAATGCCATTATTCTTAGTAACACATATTGTAACATTTGCCTGGAAGGCAAGTAAAGGTCATCATCATCTCCAGCAGTTGGGAGAGCTGATGAAAAGTTTTCAATTTCTTTCAAAAGGTTTAAGGCTAAGTACTTCTTCAGAGCTGTATTTACCTTTCTCAAATTCCTATAACCTATATCATTGCGAAATTTCTTGTCATATTTATACAAAAATCTTGAACAAATGGCACTTTCTTTGTGTAGAGGTGACTGCTTTGATAAAACTTTGATAATATTGTTAGTTATTTGTTTTAATGCAGGTAAATCTGTAAAAGAGAAGTTAAATTAGCACTGTACTCAAAATTCGATGAATAACGTCGTATTCATCATCATCAAATTTGTTGTTTTTGCGGAAGCAAACGACTTACCAAATTTAGTAACACATAAAAACATAGTTACAGGGGGTGGTAAAACTGTTGCGGAATTCCAGGGTTCTGGCATTTTCAAATGTGAAAGCTTAATAACTGTAACTACTAGCACTATATAATAGTTAAATAACCACAACAAACAACATAACCTCAAATTAGTCAAATTCTAATACATAAATGTCAATGTCATAGTACTAAATTAGACGAGTACTGAGACTGACCATAGATGACTAATAGGTACTGACCATTACTGACTGACCGTACCACTACCACTGAATATAAATACTCCTAGCGGAGGGCTAGTATTATTAGTATGCATGTACCGTAACGACTAGAAAAACAAAAACAGTGTTCACATGTCACCACAACATAACCAAAATATGTACCGGAATTATTACTCAGGCTTTAAAAATATTAATATATATTTAAATTCAGCTATCATCGACGTCATAATTACATTAGACAATGACGAATATGTTTTTCACTAGACTTAAAATAGATAAAATGTTTTTACATCAAATTGCTTTGATTGGATCGGAAAATAGTATAATTCGTTTACAAATCTTTGCTCTTGCAACATCAAAAAGTTTTTCATTTTACTCAACAACCAGCCTCTGAATGAACCGGCTGGGCAAGACATTGTTTAGGGCAACTTTCCCCTATTTCCTCGGGTTCTGAGTTGCACTGAGTTGGGGCAGACCAATCAACCGTCAATCATACCGGCAAATTCCCTTATACTTATACCTCTAATACCTAATAGGTCAAGAGGTAATATCTACTCTTTGCCGGCAAACAAGTGAAATCTCGTTATATAGTATATTCTGTGAGTGAAATGGAGTGAATTGTCACTGCTGAAGTGAACGAGAGTTAACGAGTGAGTGAGTGAGTGTCATAGATTTAGTACATAAGTCTGTGCAAGTCTGTGTAGGTCTTAGTACTTAGTAGGTCTGTGGTGAGTGTAACTGTAACGAACGAATGTTTGCAAAAACGGCGAATCGTAACCTCAAAGAGTAGGTATTTTATGTATAACCTTCTTAGCCAAAGAGTAAAGTAACTACAGCATCTAAAATAACTATCGAACAGAAAAGCAAAAGCAAAATAGAATTATAGAATAGAAATACGTACGTATAATATCTACTTGTACTTGCTGCTGTAGTGTGGTGGATGAAAAAAATAATACCTATTTACATTAAAAATAAGTTTGTAGAAGTTTTTGTGAAAATATATATTTAGTTAATTCTAATAAGATAACAAGTTATTACTTTATAAACGTATGTTATTTTAGATAAGCCGAATTGTGTGTAAAATGCCTAAACACAAGAAGCAGGAGAGTTCCAGCAGCTCTGATAGCGATGATGGACCAGTCGACGTAAGTTTTAATTACAATGTTGTTTTTTAGAAGATAGGTACTTTTACGAGGGTTAATTTGTAAATCTAGTCCTAATAACACATGAACAGTATGTGATGATAAATGTATTTTTCGAATACACGTGTACGTGCAAATGTCTCGCTTTAATGCCATAAAGGCGGCTTAAACTTACATGGAGTCTGTACATGTTCTATTTTCAAACACCTTTTAATCCTTAGTAGTAAGGTATAATCTAAACTGTAGTATCAAGAAGTTATATTATTATATAAATATACAAAGATACATATCAACCTAATAAGAAACTTGCAAGAAAGTTAAAAACGTTTCTTCCTAAAGGTTTTTTATACTGACTGATTTATTATGTTAAAAAATAATTGTATTTGAAACTAAACTAAGTACTTAACCTTACTTATCTGTGTTGTTTAATATTGCTTAAATTGATTTTTGCAGAGAAACCCTCCAGCGGAAAAGAAAGCCAAAATGGGGAATAGGACAGCTGACAAAGAGCCAACATGGGTCTTGCAAGGGAAAAAGTTGGTTAAGGTCAGAGAATTCAAAGGCAAGGTATATGTAGATATAAGAGAATTTTATGAAAAGAATGGTGATCTGTTACCAGGGAAGAAAGGGATTAGCATGACCCCTGAACAGTGGAAAAAGTTGTTGTCACTTGGTGACGAAATAAATGAAACGCTTAGTTCCTTATGCTGAGAGCAAAATACATGTTGTTGTTCTTTATTCTGTGTAATAAATGTGAGTTATCTCTTAAAATTGCTTGTTTTTATTTATGCATTATATTAGAGGCCACTTTAGAATGGGTCATTGGTCCCATGTGCATGTTATTTTGGCGTGAATCTAGTTTATTGTAATTAGGTAGATGAATATGTAGTCTAGAGGCTTTCATTGACATAATTTTGTTGTTAGTATGATATCAAACTTGATAATAATTTATCGCAGTAGAAGTTACTATCTTGATTGCATCCACATGTAATAATGCTAAGTGCTCAAAATGCAGGACACTGTTTGTGCCATGTACAAAAACAATTTGATAAATGAAAGACTAGGATTAGCTCAAAATAGTCAACTTAAAACTAAATGAAACTAGTTATGATATAGTAGTTCTTACCCATTTTATTTTTTTACCTTTCATTAGTAGTTTGATCCAAAATAGGTACACAACTCGACACAATGTAAAACTTTAGAAATAAAAAGCATTTTCATATTAAAAGTCCTTTATTGACAATACAAGACTTGAAATGTAGATGAGGCAGAGTCGCTTTACAGTTCCTACCTTTTGGTTTAAAACCTTCAGGTGTTCATCATAAAACTTAAAATAAACAGGTACAATATTGAGCAACCCTCACAAAATACCATTGATACTTAAGAGCAAAAACAAACATATTCTGTATTTCATTATTACAAAAAAAAACTACTTATTGCAAGTTATAAAAATATGTAGTTAAATTCTATGACAAAAAAAACAATGCATTAAAATTACTCCTGTGCATTGTTTGAATATTTATCAGACATTAGACTACAAAATACAGGTCTTGTCTTCTGTATACCTAGTCAATATTTCTGAGGTGCTTATAATGAAATCCTGGTGAACCAGCAATATTAAATTTGATAACTTCAATTTCTGCCGAAATCACTGAGGCAGCGAGGCTTGTCTATCGATAGTATTATCATCATTCTACACCTCAGACAAGTGAACTGTTTTTGCCCTAAAATTCGGCAAAAATCATGGTACTAACTCGTACTGAAAGATAGACACTTACAAAAATTATCTAGTATCAACTAGCGAGAAAAAAACTAAACATGCTAATCCATCACAACAAATTGGAATATACTCATACCTTGACCCACAAATAAAACTAAAACATTTATATAAAGGAGGAACGCGTATATCAACCTGAGATTTGGATTTCAGATCATCTTCAAGTGTATCTAACAATATAAAAATACATGTACAATAGACACCTACTACTTAGAAAGTATATAATTTGATAAAATTGACTAAATTTAAACCTAAATGGAAACATTTGGCATGACATTACACATCTATTGTGTGACATATTATATGGCATGAGTAACAATTCATTTATTATCTAATAAACATGACTAGCGTTACTAGTAACGTTTCAATTTTAGCCTTACTTGCTATGAGGACAAAAGTTCTTACAATTCAATAAATGCCCGTTCAATGTAATTACAATCAGTAACACAATATGAATGTTTACCCTGGACTAAAGTTATATTTACAGACTTAAAAAATGAGAGAAAGACAATACAATTGATAACGATCACTTCGTTAAAATCAGTTGTTTTTGTATTGGTCCTCAGTATATAGAACTAATAATAATATATTTGAAATATCACTCAGAAAATAGTATCGGATAAATTAATATTAACAGTATGGTAAAAGCTTGCATCTAATGACATAAATCTGATTTTAAAAATCAAAAGTTTACACTTATTTAGGGCCTAGATTGTCGCGCTATGGTAAAGAGCTGCGATGCTACGTAACAATTATAATTATAAAGGTACACGTTCATTGCATAACAATGCGATAAGAAAATAAACGTAAATATTTGGGCGATTCTTATAATGTCCAATACGATTTTGCTTATATATAAGGAATAAAATAAATTATGAAACTTAAATAAATAAACATTTTAACTGGCAATAATTGGCTTACATACCTAAATAACATTGGAACATTATAAATGCACAATAATGTATGATCGCATACCTTTATTTCATTATCTCAATACTAACTACCACATACAAGAGTATTGGGTACTTACATACAAAATTTTATATTTTCTCCTATAATAATTCCAGACATTCAAAAAATTATTTAAAAATATATTACCTACTTTATCTTTGGCTTGATATGGAAACATTCAATTTTGAAATGATCACACATTTCTTGTACCTGGAAAACAAAAACAATATTAATAATAATTTTAAAGAGGTAACATGTAGGTACGTTAAAAATATCTACCAACATATTAGATAGATTAACTGGTCAAGTACCGTCATTATAGACACAATTATAGAACAATAGGTTGCGGTCACCGGTGACCGCTTTGTGTTTGACAGTTTGGTCCTAAGAAGACAGAAACTGAAGCAACATTACGAACGATTTTTATGTAAGGATATTTATGTTTAAGAGTCATAATGATACCAGATATTCAATTCGAATCCAATAGAAAATGCGAGTAATTGACAAAGACAAAAAGGTAACAAAAATCGACTAAGGAAACAAAGAAAAGAGATCTGAAACTTACCACTTTAGTGCCATAATAGATATGAGCAATGGAGCTGGCGACACATAGACCGGCCAGTAGCAAGAGCTCAGTGATAGCAGACACGGGGAAAAAGAACACCGTGCACATCACCAGCGCGTACGGAATCAGCAAACCGTTGAACGCCTCGCACCGAGTATCGCTCATTTGTGACACTATTAGCCGACACTGGAAGTCAAAACACGAGTATACTTCTTTATTCTGCTAGTAACTAGAGACAAGGGCATTTAACAATATTTAAATTCCGTAATTATAGTTAACGGGTAATTAAGGTAATTTCCCTTGAACTAAACCTTAACCTTAGCCTTTAGGTGCAATGCATGCATACTATAAAATTGCAATTACAATAAGTACTTAGCGTGTAGGTACCTAATATGATTAAACTAAGTCTGGCTCTAGGTACCTATTGTATTTAAATTTCTTGTATTTTTACTTCTTTTTCAGACTGTCTTGTATGGAATGGTTGCACGTCGACGAAATGCGCAGATTTTCTCATAAAATCGCATTTTTATCAGAAAAGTCATTGACATTTTTTGTTTCAGTATAAACACAAAACTTACATTAATGTTAGAGAATATGGTTCCTGTTAGTATGTAGAAGATTCTAGGAGCTCTGTTGATAATGTCAGTCGGCGAATAGATGGCCCAGACCGAACTTAATGCGAAGAATATGAACAGGGGCACCAGAGGTCGCACTGCCTCACTGAATGAACGCATCTTGCCTGTTTTGTCACGATACGATCTGAAAATGTGGAGTAAAAATAAGTAAATGACCAATTATAAGTCTACTAAATCAGCCATGCGCAAACTATGACTGCGCAACCGGCCAGTTCACGGCCTTCAAAAATAAAAACTGATAGTATATTATGGTCGGCATTCATAACAATTTGACGATATCCACCATTAACTCGTCGAGTACCGTCATTATAGACACAATTATAGAACAATAGGTTGCGGTCACCGGTGACCGCCTGGTGTTTGACAGTTTAATCCAGTTTATTCATCGTCTGGGGTTACGAAGTATGAACGTAGTCCTCCATTGATTAAATACTTTTAAATTTTATCATCTGAGATAGCACACTTTTTTTTTAAGGGGAAAAAATCATCGAAAGACTGCTCCCGCCTGGGTTAGGCGGTAGGGAATGTCGGACTCTTACTGACTAAAAACCACCCCATTCCTTCTCCTGCACGTCGAGCCGGAGCCCCGGTAACCCGTTAGGTTCTCCGCGACACATAGAGCCATACTAGCATCAATTTTTTTTAGCAGGTATTCCTAAACTTTTGCACCTACCAATGTTCGCTTTGGCTTTGCATTGCTTAGTTACGCTTCAAGTAACAATAACATAACTAGGTAAGTAATTAGTTATGCAGATATGTGCTTTAGTATTAATAACATAACTTACTTGTAAATATTCCATAATATGACAGTCTGGCTGGTGAGCATGGCGGAGAAGTACAGCACGAACTCGAAGATGACGCCGGGCGTGATGTTGCCTGGCAGGGGAATGTGCCACGCTTCAGGACCGAACACTGACGTCACCAGCAGAAGGATACAAGAACCCTGGAGGAAGCAAATAGTATTCGTAAAAATACTCGCATTTGTGTTGTCTCTGTTTACATACATAACATCACGCCTTTTCGCCCCGAAGGAGTAGGCAGAGGTGCACACAGAACTTCACAGAAGTAACACCCACTTTTCACTATTTATGTTATGAGTCCCTTATAATAGGGGGTGAGCCTATTGCCATGTACCGGGCACATTTCTAGACTCCGTGCTACTACTGAGAATTTTTTTAAAAACCCAGTAATACTTTGCCCAACCCGGGAATCGAACCCGAGACCCCTTGCCCGGTAGTCGCACTCACGACCACTCGGCCAACGAGGCAGTCTCTGTTTAAGTTTCGGTTAATCTAATTGGCTGATAATTAGTTAGCTGTGTTTACAGTGTACCAGTTAATAACACAAACTTGATCTGTGGTGGTGAGTATCTTAAATGTCGTGGACGAAAGAAACAATTTATTTGTTATTTTATTTATTATTTTAGCCATGATCGTCCCACTGCAGGGTAAAGGCCTCCCTACCCTCCACTCCAGTTTGTTATGGGACACTAAATGATTTTCACTTTTTTCCCGTTCAGGTCTTGTTGGAGAAGGCCATGCGACGGTCCCGAAAAAAAAGGCAAAAGTTAGTCGCACAACTTTACGTAACGCAGTTTTTATAAGCTAAGGTTGACTTACAATCATTGTGAAGTCGTATCCCCAGGGCAGGAACATGACTCCAGTGTTGTACTTCTCCCAGTGTGTCAGATAGAAATTGAAGAATATGTTCCATATCAGAAACAGGAACCGTAGCGTGCTCACTTCATCCCTGAAAGGAAATAAATTCATGAGTAAGTCATTATTCGAAATAACAGGCATAAAATTGCAATCAAGTGTTCAATATTTAATTGAGATCAACAAAAACACCTGAAAACAGTTTTTCATTTTTTAATACCTACCTACTTATTAATTTTCCCTAATAAGTTAACTATAGTAGTGTTTTACGATATACCTTCATATCAAATTGAGAAGTATTAATCTCGGCTGTATGATTTATACAAAATACCGCAATGCATGCACATACCACATATATACTTATTTTAAGTTATTTTATGCAACCACATCATACAAGGAAACATCAGTGAATCGTATGATTTAAATGTATACGATAAAAATGAATCAGATACTACTATGATGATACAACAGATTTAGTAGTCTAAAAATGTATCAATATTTCATAATAATTAAATGAGATTACGTTAATAATTTTAATTTTGATTCGTCATTACAAACAATCAACTTTATATTTTTTGCTCATTGCTTTAACCTTCAAGCGGGCGCGCGGTCTTTAGTAACGGGAGCGGGCGCGCGTAACCGAATAGACCTATGGGATGAATAAGACCAAGAAAGCAATAATTATGGGATAATCATTTATTAATTTGTACTAAGATACAATATCATTGTCTTTAAAGAGAAATTTGTCACAACAAGTAATTAAAGTTATGAAAAAGAAGCAATTATTAAGTCACCTAAAGTAACTCAAATATTCTTCGGATCAAAATAAAAATTAAGACCCGTTTACATATGTTAGGTTGGTTTATATACGTAGACCAAAAAATAAATAAAAAGTAAGGATAAAACTGTAAAAACTCATTAATTTTGATTTTATTTTCGTCTGAGTCAGTATTCTAGTAATTTTTCAGATTTTGCTACTTCGTTACTTTATCGCGTCCTGTAAAACAGCTATTTATTTCCGAAACCTACAAATTATTCTCATCTAAATCCGACAAGGATGATATCACATCAGATAGATGTTCTTCTAAAACTATGTGATGAGAAGTTTCAGAGCCTTGGTTGCTAAGCTCTGATTCACTCTCTTCTTCGTCTTCTCTTTGTAATTCCTCGATTACTGTACTTTGCGATAACCATAAACGACTTATTTTAACAAAAAATGCTTTAAAACACCAAAACTCCAAGCTGAATTAGATAATATTGACATGTGTATGTCGCGTTGGGCGTCGCGCGTAACCTATTCGACGACAGGCGCGTGTAGTCTTTTCAACGACTGCGCCAGAGCCTAAAAAAATGTAATTTGTGGAGTGTAGAGAGCGCTTCAAGCAACGAAATAGTTTTTATTTTACTCCTAAAAAGATAGTGACAGGCTACTAGAAATAAGAAATGCATGTGGCAACTAAAAATAAAAATACGAACGAAAATGTATTAACCGCGGTCGATTCGACTACGCGCGCCCGCTTGAAGGTTAAATACATGTATAGTTCCGTAGATTAACCCTTTCATTAATTTTCTCGGATGCCGCCTATATTTTACGTTGAACTCGTCGGGCGAGTCTACGAAGCTGGAATAAAATTTAGGTGGACTCTCCGGGCGATTCACTTAACGTATTAAGAAGATATAAGTTGGAGATTAATGACAAGAGAAAATTTAAGTATTTTAACACTACATTTTAAAAGGACATAGGTAATAAAACAAGCACAAGAAATAGGCCATAACTACCCCTACCGTACTAACTACTTTTAAAATGATTCGTGTCTTTACACGGGTCATTTCACGGATACATAAATTAATTTCTTACGACATTTTTTGTACGATGTCAAATTATAATGCACGTCATACTTACAGAAAACTATTAAATAATACAACTAATGCCAGTCATCACGGTCAGCTCAATAATTTTTTTATAACTTATCACAAAAAAGGATCTAACGCGTGACTTAGTACCATCTAGTCTGCTTCACAATGATTAGGGTTTAATCATTCTGTAAGTCTTCTATCGCTTCACTTATCTTGATACACGTACGTAAGACACTACTTATTTGAAAATCACCTGATTTTTGATAACAAACAGGATACAAGTATATTACCAAGGTAGCGGAAACTATAACGTACTACATATGTACGTAACACCTATTAAAACTCAGAGGCAAAGCGATATTTTTTTCATTTGAAAAGCCACATTCACAATTTTAACATATAACATAACACCATGCCTTTTATCCCCGAAGGGGTAGGCAGAGGTGCACATTATGCCACTTTACAATGTAACTTTACACTTTTCATTTTTTGTATGATAAAAATCGCCAAAACCTAAACAGGTTTGATAATTCACGGAGGGCATAACTGTTTAGTTATGGTTTAGCCTTATCGTTATATCAATGTTCACCCTTTTTAGATAGTCACAGCTTTCTACATAATCTGAATATGTTAAAAAAAGTAAATCAATTTGCCTCGCTGAGATAGTCCATTATCTAAGTGCCGGATATTCTATCTGACAGCTCTGCCCTTTACTCGATATCTTATCAGCATAAAAAACTACTAGTGATCCGCCCTTTTGTAATAGCTAATAAATGGACAATGGTGAGTCATTTTCTATAACTCAAGTATAAAAATAGAACTTTGTAGGTTAACTTCTGCGATTTAGACACAATTAAAGAACAATAGGTTGCGGTCACCGTTGTCCTCGCGGAGTTTGACAGTTTAATATTTACCTTTTTAAAAACCTATGCACATCTAAGAACTTAGGCCCCAAAGCAAAGTCTCAAGCGAATTAGTTGCAATGACATAGACAACTTTATTAGGTAAGTACGTCTAAATATTTTGAACTCTTATTCAGTATTTTGATTTATCATAAATTTACCGCAATATAAGGTGCTAAAGAAAAAAAAAATGAACAAAATATGTAAATACGGGGGCCCATAGGTAGTACATATTCAAATATTTGCTTCATCCTACATCCATTTCAACATTTTAAATTTGATTACTTATTTAATCCGCACGAATGGATTTATAATGGTGAGCGCAAATAACATTAAAAAATTATGTCGCGTCTATAACATTTCTTCCGTAGTACAAACTATACGAGGTATGTACTTGGTACATTGCGATTACGTATAAAAAAGTCAATGGTCAAGGACACATAATACTTAAACACAGCAATTTTTACTCAATTTGTTGCTGTTGGCAATGATAAGTTATTATCTTGTATCAATTCAGATTTGGTTGCCAGGTTTCAGTAAATAACATGATTGTTTTCTATTGTCATTTCTACTTACACGAAGTTTGAAACGTTTGAGTAGAAATATAAAGGTCTCATAACTTCTAATTAAAGTAATTCTTCAATCGCGTGTATCCGTAACATGCGTCATTAGACCTAATCACCTAATTAGTCGATTTCTAGCTAAAACTCTCCTTATCGGCACGTTCCTTCATAGTTACTGGTCACAAAAATATTCTCCAGATTTTTATAATCTTGTTCATGTTTAATTGTAGGTAAGTTTGCCGATAAAACACATTAAGTATTTTTCCGAACAATTAATTACACGAATAACAACCGGTATATGTACGGTAGGGGTCACGTTTATGTATTATGATAAACCTTTTACTATTTTTGGAAGTTGAATAAATATCTATCGAGAGCAGCTGATATATTACCTATAATAACTAAAGTCCACTTTTAGCGTATCTTACTTTCATTACATAACAACAAAGGGTATAGTGACATTCCGAGATCAGAAGCGGCGTATTTCTAATAACAAAATGTACATAATCTCGCAATTGCATGTTTAGGTATAATAAAAGTCTGAGTGGTATACCTGCCAAATATGCTGTAGAGGAAGGTAGGGATAAGGACAGCGGAGTACGAGTCCAGTCCATGGTCGAACAGCTCTCCTAATGGGCCACTGGTACCGGTGCGCCGAGCCTGTTTGCCGTCGATACCATCTGTAACATGTCATACAGTTTCACTGAGTATCAATTGGCATTAGCTAGAAAAGTTGTGCCTATTCCATATAACTATTTATCTACTAATAGGTACAACATAATGTATTTTTATTTAGGTAGGATATAAGGATATAACCATCGTGTAGTAGAATAATGAGATATATGCTAATCCTAAATAGGAAGTAAATTAAAGAATCTTTATTTTGATTCACAAATAGCTAAAAGGTAATTAAGAATATCAAAACAGTCAATTAGCATACATCATTTGCGTGTTCAATGATTTTAAATACATTATTCTTGAAGCAAGGTCAATGGTTTAAAAATTGCACGGCTAATGTGACACGTCCGTTTGATTGTGGAGCATTGCCGGCGATCTGCCTTGCGAGACTCGGATCGTAGAAACACGTGTTCAGCACGCCCACTGTAGATAAGTCTTTTGTACTATTGAACTCATCGCGCCACTTTCATTGAGGATTAACTGGACTGAATGAAGATCGCGTTATGCTCTGAATAGAATCAGACATAAAGAAACATTACACGCGACTTGTACGCGCTTTGGTATATCCTTACCTCATAGACTGATTAAACAATGGTTCCGCGATTTATTTCACCGTCGCGAGTTTTAACTGGTGTAACGATAATGTTACCTGCAACCGGTTTGTGAAGGTCACCTTCCAGATATTTACCGGATTTACATTTTTCCTTTTGTGTCATCCGTTAAGTATTAATTTGTGGAAACAAATTAATTCGAATACGATTAGGTTAGTACTACATTATTATACGTAAAGCATGGCTCCAGATGAACGTCCTCAATGAATAGATCTTGATAAATTAAAGTTTCTCTACTTCTGTATTTTACTCCCACTAATACTAGGCTGACGGACTCTTGCTTATACATGGTGTTTTTACCTACTGCATGACATTGATTCAAGAATCAATTACTACCATTATTAACATGAGTTACCAGATTTTCGAATTGCAAGTTATGACAAAATTGGCACCTAATCTGGTGATCTTAGAACCTAATTTGGTACCGGATCACAGTGTGGTTTGAGGTGAGACTAGCAAGGACTGTAAATGTCTTAATAATGCTCTGTTTGTGCCTATACGAACCAAGAAACCATATTCAGAAAATGATCATAGTTCTTTATTATAACAATGAATTGTAGCTTGATAACAGTTAAATTACATTTATTAGTTTCTACGATATACGTTTACGGTACTAAGGGAACTAATTTAAAACTATTTTGTATATTTATTGATAATATTATGTTAGTAAACAAACGTTCACACAAACAGTGAACTTTGCTATTAAGTGTTTATTTAAGTAGATAATAACAAACTTCTATGAATCTATCGATCATACGACAAAGTATATCAATATTTAAATATTTGTTTCTCTTCTCTATTAATAAAACAGACCAATAAATGCACAGATAGTGCGTTTGATTTAAATAAGAAACAAGGATGTGATGAAACGTCTACTATCACATGACACATTAAATTTAACATTAGATAAGAAAGGGCAACAATAAGAGTGCGCGAATGAGATCGAGCGGCCACCATCACAGTATTCAGTCGCACGTAGTTACTACATCTTTGATTTCTTTTTTATATATTTGATGGACCGACGTTTGACCACTATCTCGCCTGGTGGTAACCGATGATACGGGCTACACTGAAGCACGTCTGTCCATAAGCAACCTATTCACTCGGGCCTTGAAGACAGCCAAGTAACACAGGGTATACCCTTCCCACCCACACCCAGGTATACCCTTCAGGAAACACAGACTCAAACAAAGAATTCCACTCTTTAGCAGTACACACAAGGAAGCTTGACGCGAAGCGCTGCGTGCGTATGGGTGGGACATCTACCACGAATTGATGACGCTTCGCCGATGGTCTTGTGGTACGATGATGTGGTACAATAGAGACTAGAGGGAATCAAGTTGTGCAATTTCCTCGCACACTCACCGAAATGTATCCGGTAAAAACCGAAAGGCTTGCAACCTTACGCCTGTTTTCGAGGCTTTGTAGCAGAGCCTCCACAAGCACATCATAGTTAATGATCTTGATCTTGGCACACCTCTCGATGTGCTCTAACGCATCCAGCTGATATTTAACCGAGTCGTACCAAAGATCAGAACAATACTGTATACAGGACCGAGCCTGTGCTTGGTACAGGCTTAGCAATTGTTTCGGCATGAAGTACCGTCACACCCTCTATAGGATACCCAACTTTCTATCAGCCAGTTGCGCTTCGATCCTATATAGAAGCCAAAGTTGAGTGTGGGTATATTGACTCCATTTGGCCGAGAATAGATACGCCTGGGTTTTGCTAGCGTTGAACTTGTTTCTCCATTGATTTGATTTTGTTTCTTAACACTTTATATAATTTAATACTTTCATGGTAATTTGAAATGCGACGGTAATCTGCCAGATTGATATAATATTGTCACACTTATATAATAATATCAATAAAGCCTATTGTTTTCTCGGTCGGCTTTTTTAGTAGTGATAGTAGGTACCTACTTAATGCAACATATTCATCCCTTTTTTTAAATATTATTAGTGAGCAGAATGGAAAAACCGTGTGGATTAAAAGAAGCGTGAACTGAAAAAAGGTGTAACGATATAGGGGAACTCTTAACCTTAATCCTGTCGTGTGTCCAAACATGGATCCACGCGAGACACAGTGTATTTTCTATTGTTTCTCATATAAATTCAATTCAAGCGGTTAATGCACAAGATTTAAAAAAGGAATGATAAGGTGGTTTCTTAATATTGTAAGATTGGATGCCAATAGAAATACGAAAAAGTATCACCAAACCCTTACTCACAGTTTGCTTGTTGAGTTACTACAAGACATCATAATATACAGGGTCTTAGGTCTACTACATTTTTATACCGAAATGCATTAAACTGTCAAACACCAAGCGGTCACCGGTGACCGCAACCTATTGTTCTATAATTGTGTCTACAAAACCGGTACTCGACGAGTTAAATAAAGAATTACCCACTGGAATTAGGCGGGATATTCAACAAACTTATTGAACATTTAATCACTACGTAAACGAGACACATGCGTCATAATTTGCAAGTTTAAATACAGTTTAATGTATAATGACTAGAACAGAATAAATTAATGACGATGTCCCCACTTCATAGTATACGAATGGATGCGAATAATATTACTTAATAAACATACACAAATATAGATACGTAGGTACGTACATATAACAGTAAAATGTCAAAAGGTTCACGACTCTTGTTTCAAGATACGAAAGTTTTCTATTTTAGTGTAATATTCCTAATACACGCGTATTATCGCATGTATGACATAGCACGCAGTTCACCCAGTACATAGATATCACATACGTACGAGTAAGTAAAATCCTAATATTGATAAAATTATGAATATGTTGCGAGCGTATTTTGTTACTAATTGGCTGCTGCTATCGTTATTTGGTTATGATTATAGCGTAATCATTACTAAAACGTACTTTGATTGAAATAACGATTAGAATATAGAAAAATTGTAATAAGTTAGATATACCATAACACGTGTTATACAGGGAAACCGTTGTAACTTTTTTTTTATTTAGATTCTTTTTATTCTTCTTTCTTTTCAATTTGTACGAATTACCAAATGACAGTACGAGTACCTAGTATGACTGTAATCTTCTATTTAATTACTTTAATGCTAGTCATGGCTTCAATTTTACCTAATATTTGCTAATTATGTAAAGCTTTTATTACATAACTTAAGAGCTCTTCAAGGCAGCTTCAGCGAACTACGAGTGTCGTATACTAGGCAAAATTTACTTAGGTGCGAGTAGTACGCAACATACGGACACCTGAATCACAACAATAAAACCGCTAATTTTAAACGGATTTCGGTATATTTAGCGCCTACCACGTCATGCAGTTTGGCGCCACACTGCTACATACATTACACTGCTAGAGTGACGTCAACAATAATTCAGAATAAACCCGAGAGCTGCTTGTATTATGAGTCTATAAATTTTTTTTTTTTTATTTTATAAATTGGAAATCTATAAAGTGGGTAGGCGCTGTTGCTTTATATGAGTTGCCAAAATATAAGACTAGTTTCAACGTCGTAAATATCAATTTTTCAGGGTTCCATAACCATAGCCGACTGTGTTGAAGACAAAATGGGAATATCGTTCGTGTTTATGTGAAGTGCCAATCTTATCACTGGCGATTTGTTAAACACATGGGTATGTTTACAAGCGGCGAAGATTCGAGATGCCATAACCAAGTGAATGGTGCTCCAGTCATATAATCCCGTTAACTAGGTAGTACCTATACTAACTTCTAATAATTATAATGCGTGAATTAGGGATAAATATCCAGTAAATATACCTATCTTATACTATTATATAAAGCGGAAGTTTGTTTTTTTTTTGTTTGTTTGAACGCGCTAATCTCCGTAACTACAAGTCTGATTTGAATAATTCTTTTTGTGTTGGATAGTGCATTTATCGAGGATGGCTATAGGCTATAAAACTTCACGCTACGATCAATAGGAGCTGAGCAGAGCGTGTGAAACCGCGCGGTAGTAGGTAGTTAAACATACAGATAATGCACGCAGTCGTCATAAAGTCTATATGCGAGGTATATAAACCAAAACACTCATCTTTTTTTTTCAGAATCTAAAGGAAAAAATTGCAGCTTAGAATAGGTTGCTATGACAACATATTTAGATAATTTATGCATAATATCTGTTTAAATATGCACCTAAGTAAAATACTCAGAGACATGTCATAGTCTTACATTTTTAATTACATTTAAAGGTCAAGTTAGTAACTAAGGTAAGAATAACCCTGAATAACGGCTTCATAATCTTATTACATAATACACATTTGTTTACTGGATATTGTTGTAAACTAGTGTTAATGTGCGATTTAATTATCCTGTTGACCAGAGTTGGGTACATTAACACTAAAAATAATAAAGTGTACATGCACCTACTCCTCTTTTTCCTATGAAAGACCCATAAAATTTTATGCAGCATTCATTATAATTTTAATGCAAAGATTACAATTTCCATAGCCAGTATTAGCTATAATCAAAATTATTAATTAGTAACCATAAATTGTTTTTTATAACATCACACCTTTTATCCCCAAAGTGGTAGTTTTTATTGGTTTTTGTGTTTTATTGTTATTTTTATTGATTCATTACATCTACAGAATAAACTTTTAGATGGATTTCTTTTATTATTTTTACATAGCAAATAATTTTTATATTTTAGTTGCATTTTTAATAAATTTTATAGCAACACAAAGCAATGAAAAGAAACATAAAATCAATTTATCATTCTATGACAAATAACTATTTAAAATTTCTTTAGGTATAAAAGATGACTTGAACTGGGGTGGCCCTTGAACAAACAGAACTTGACTAAAGAATTCCTTGATTTTAGAGCATGATAAAATACATCTTGTTGTTACATCAAAATTAAATATCAACAATTGCAATAATAATTAGAGAACATCTTCTATTTACTTTTGAACTTGAACATACATTTTAATCCTAATATTTATCATAAAATCTAAGTTTGTGAGGTTTTATGGATGTTTATTCTTTGAAACAAAAACTAATCGATGAAGTACAAAACAGATGTATGTTGGTAATTTTTTAAACAAAAGCTGAATGGATCTGAACAAAATTTGGCACAGAGATAAATTATACCCTGGAATAACACATGCTACTTTTCATATGTGAAAAGAAACTAGTTAGTATAAAAAATAAGACTCACCCAGAGTATAAGCCACAAAGAGGTTGACAGCGGAAACTCCCCATACCCACGAAGGTATGTGATCTTTGGTGACATTCTCAGCTGTCATAGCATAGAAACCATAGTCATAGTATGAGAAAACAAAGAAGTTCAGCACTGTCAGTAGAAAACCAGTGAATGTCAGCAAATTCGGAGCCACCCATACTGGACAGAACTGCAAGGAATATTAATATTAAATATTATTCAATTTCATTTAAAAATAAGGTCATTCTAAAGATATTTAAAATGGTGGAAGTTGGCTTAATTATGCTACAGTTTTATGTGAAGGACAAAAAATATAAGAAAATATTGTTAGAAATATGATAGGTAAATAGATATTAGCTTTATTTGTAACACTGTCTATTTAGTTCTGTAGACTTAAGTTTTAATTTAATTTGAATGAATTTTGTAGATCCACGAAATAGATTTGAAAAAAAAGATAATAATATTTGGATAAACACAATTATGATAAATTTCTGACTGGAGTCTTACCTGGACACACCAGTTCCAAAATGGGTGCATAACATAGTTACTGAGGACACTAGTATCCACAGAGTTATACTGAAACAAAAGGCGATTTTTTTATATTTCACAAAAAAAAATTCCGAATAAAAATGACACTCGATTTATTTTCAGATTACGAAATACAGATTTATATATGAAAAATATCACATCAACATCACTTACTTATAAGTTTGGGAAAAGAAGGAAGACTTACTTTGTATTTTTCGAAACCTTTTAATTTATCTTCCGACAGGAAGCGAGCCATGACGAACGTTGAAAATTATGTTTTGTTATTTGAAAGCAATATAAATTAAATTCATTCTTCTACGACATCACACTTTTTATTACTGAATTTTTGTGACGAAATAACGTTATTTTGGTCTATATCACGCGTATTTTTTAATTATTACAGCGTAATTTCTATTTTAAAACATGCACAAAACCACACTCGCGCATTCGAAAATGACAACTGATGACATTAAAAAAAATACACTCATTTCATTGACGTTGATGACATTTCCTTTTTCAGCTGCGAAGGGAAGTCGCATAAACCATAGACCGTTTTTATTTTATTTCTTTTCCATAAGACGTCGATCGTTGCCGTGTTGTCGATTACGTAGAAATATATTTTTTAAATTAAATGTAGTTATGAATTTATTTACATTTTTTATATACTCATTTCACTCAGTTACATTATCGATTATGCGAACCATAGACAATGCTTGACTGTATTTTGTGGCACTATGCCCAAGAAGGCCCAGGTAAGACCCTGTTGAGGGTAGAAACAGGGCGATGAAACAAAGGCAGACATAATGCCACAGAAATAATTGAAGCACCAAATGTCTATACTTAGTAACCGGACTATGTCCGCCTTTTTCATCATCCTTAGTATTGTTATTATAGGCTGTTGCTGTGTTGTAAACGCTTTACATATAACTTGGTCTTTTATGAGATACGCTGGTAAATGAGCAGACTCTCAGACTGGTCACAAGATGGTAAGCAATCGGGGCCGCCCATGGACACCCAAATACTAGAGGCGTTACCAGCTTTTTGGCGAATAATAATTTGAGGATTCTTGGGGATTCAGGGTTTAGGGAGATTGGGTAGAATATTAGGTATCTACTATACATATTTTATGTAACAATTTCACATAAAATTGGGTTCAAGATCAAACTAATTAACTAGATAATTGCTTGGGATAATTATTTGCTAATACTATGATTGCTATGATAATATCACTAGGCTCTTTGCTTTTTATACAACTGGGTGCCATGAGACGCGATAGCAAACTCTTTATGTATGGTAAATAGATGTGCACACAATAAAATAGTAGGTAATCATTAATAGTAAATTATAGATACTCTCTTAATAATGTACCTACCTTTTTTTTTGAAATGGGAAAAGGCCGCCACAACCTTCCAAAACTGCTGCAACTCCTGTTAGTCAGGATCGAAGAGCTAGAATACATCCATGAAAACATCGGAACACTGAAGTGTGGTGCGTCCCAGGGACATGAATAACTGTCTTGGTTACCGCAACGAAATGTTAACCTACCTATTTTTTACCTACTACCGAACACTAAACCGCTACTTAATTAGAAAGAAGAAAAAAAAAGAACCTTTATAGTCCCTCTGAGAATTTATGAACATATCATCACGACTATTATTCCTTGAAGAGATAAGTTGAGTACCTAATTATTGTTTTAGTATAGTAGTGTAGTTGTCGCGGAGAACCTAACGAATTATCGGGGCTCCGGCTCGACGTGCAGGAGAAGGAACGGGGTGGTTTTTAGTCAGTAAGAGTCTGACACTCCCTCCCGCCTCACATAGGCGGGAGCAGCCATTCTATGATTTTCCCCCCTTAAAAATAGTAGTGTAGTAAGTTATACGTAGCTATAACTGAAAAGCAATTTTCGTCAGTTACTTTTGTGCGTGGACAAATGATCCAGATTTACTTATTAATTTACTAGGTTAATTTGTGTAATACTTAAAAAACAAAACACATACAATGCACGACAATATACCTACAATCGAATTGAAAAGCACACATTTAGCCGAAGTGTTTAAATAAACGATAACAATGACTTCTGTATCATAGAAGTAGGAAGTTTATTTAACATTAATTGTGTATGAAAACAAAGTAAAGACTTGGTACGCAAGTAACGCAATCAAACAACAAATGCGGTATCACTATCACTTATGATAAAACGTCATGTCGATTGTATGTTTTCTCAAAGGAGCTACGTTATTTAGTTCGAAATACGAAATAGACGCGACACACGCCTCGTTACAGACCGATAATATTTGAGTATTTTTTTTTATTTAAAAAATTAAAAGTTCGTTATCTGTGATCATAATTATGTTGTACAAATCTGCGGCTCTTCGGACGAAGAGCCAGTATTTGAAACATGTGGTTTATTATTCTTCGTCTAAGGTAAGATTTTTGAAAGTTTACTGACGCTTTTAAATAATTATACATTTACGGAGGTGGAGGATATAATATTTACTTATTTATTTTATTAAAAAATATTATTTGCCTATGTCTGTTCACAAAAAAAACTACTTAATAGGTTTTAATTAATTAGTCTTGTTAGAATTAAGGGAAAACGTAGATAATGTAGTATTTATATTAATCTAAGTACCTACACAATTAGAAAAACCCAGCAACAGCCTAATCAAAATAATAATCTGTTTACTTCACATTAATATAATATTATGATCGATAGAATAATATAATCTAAGTCTGAGTACGTAAACAATTTCCGATTTTATTATTAGATATTACGATATTTTTAGTTATCTATTCGTTCGAATTAAAAAACAAGTTGTAGTTAAATCAAGATTTGGAGTACTCAATCTACCCAATATACCAAGTAGAGTATTAAAGTACACCCTCTCTAAGAATGAAGTAAAGGGCTTTGACGGGATGTCGATTCGATATAACAAATTATGTAGGCACTTATTATGACCCTATGTTACTTATTAGCATGTAAACTTGGTCACCGGAAAAATAATCTTTATCTGAATATTTTTTTTATTACAAAGTAGGTACCTTCTCTTTAACAACAACATTGAAGTTATAGAAAAATCAATAGAAATAAGTACCTAAATGGGTACTTAAACAATCGTTACCATTTCTGTTCTTGATTACTTTAGAGATTTATAGAAATTAGATCAGATTATTGCTAGTGTGCATTGAACTTAAACTGTCAAACACCGCGAGGACACCGGTGACCGCAACCTATTGTTCTTTAATTGTGTCTATAATGACGGTACTCAACGAGTGTTATATGCAATTACATGCAATTTTCCTTGTGAAATGTGAAGTCTGCAGGAAAAGTTCGCAAAAAAAACATGTTCATCTCTTTAGGAACAAGATTATTTTTATCTATAACGAGATTATAATTCATAAGTTATTACCAAAAGCTCAAAAAAAACTCGCGCAAACAGCATAAATAAATACCTGGCGTATTTTTGTATCAAGATACGTAATGTAAATAACATTGGACATGAAAACGTCAAGATTTTACACAAGAACACATTTTAAATGATAACGAAAGTAATATTCTTACACGGTTAATATTGATTTAATTTAGCGATTTCTACGTGTAGGCCTGACACACTGAGTTGTCTTAATTCCTAGGTAGCAACTGATAAGGAGAGTTATTGTTATGATGCCCGGTATACGTACCTACCCAGGTTTAATTGAACATACAATTATATGATAACTTATCTTAATGTTACCTACATAAACATTCGCGTGATAAGTAGGTACGGGCCTCCTGCACAGATCGTGCTAAATATTCATAAATAAATTTTCTCAGGTAGATAATTACTTAAAAGTAAAATAGTGCTTTCTAATTTCTTGTAAAAGCAACCTCCACAGGGTGTCCCTGAAGTAGACGACCAAATGGCAGGGTGATTGGCAAGATTCCAACCAAAATATTATAAAGATTCCAAGGCATATACTTTTTTAATTACATATATTTATGTGTTATCCACGAAAAAGTACACCCTGTGCCAGCCGTTTGACTCTTGTTGCTAGAATTCTTTATTTTTTCGTTTCTGCTGATGTTATCCCGAGTAGTGCTCTAGTATTATGGAATCATAAATTCTAATCCAATTGCTTTAGTTTGGAAAAGAATGATGCTTTTTGACGAATCAAGTGGTTTTAATAAATTTTTCAGCTTATCTTAAGGAACTGAACTGGAATAAAATGTATTAAACTAAATCAAAAATATCGACGAGCATTCCGATCTATTTTTATTAGATCTTAATAAAATGTTCTTAAGAAACATTAGTTAAAACAGTGCAATAAATAAAACAATTCTAATTGATTCTCAGTAAACTTGGAGATTCTTAGTTTACTCTATCTTATTTGGTAACGTTATCTTAATGGTAATTATTTTAGGGGAAGGAAAGTTCCGTAACATTTCACACAAACTAACATCTAGAGATAAAAGAATTACCATACGATGGAATATTTTTACTATTACATGATGGCTATCAAGCATTTTGTTACTATATTATCGTTGTTTGTTACCTTAAACTTGTTGACATCCACTATCTTTAGGGTGTGTCAAGAACTCTCGATTTATTTAGAGTCATACGCTCTAATAACAAACGATCTATAAATATTTATAAGAAGGTTGGCGAATCTTGTGATAATTATATTTGCGTATGTCTCTAAATTCCTACGTGTATTATCTTTTTGGGCCAAAGAAGAATCGTTGACACGTATTTTCCCTTGTGTAAAAATGACGTCAAATGAGCATCTATATAAGATTTGTTTACAGTATGATTGTATGTGTGATCAGCCAAAATAATATTTTCTTTTTCTCTACTCTAGAAGTACATACATAAGTTGTTCAAAACAATTTTTTTTTCATAGTTTTTACTAATTCCCTAAACAAAGTAGGTAATAATAGTTTGTTTGGAAAACATTATATGTGAAATGAGAAACGTACTTTAATCGTATGATATACAACTGTGTAGTTGAGTTAAGAGAACTAATTCTTTCAGGAAATTCAGATCACAATGACGTCTAATAGTTTTCACGTGTTTTGAGTAGCATTTAACTGGCCCTTGTTTTATCTACTTTACAAAAAGTTTTTAGCACTAAAGAACATGGTTTATTTATACTTCTTACTCGTACTTGAAGTATAGTAGTGCAGAAAAGTATTAGTTTTTCATACGGTGCATTTATTTTCTATTGTAAAGGTCAAACAAATGCACAATACAATACTTTGACCTCTTTCTATATTTAGCTAAGATGATAAATAATATATCATTTCCGCGGTCCAATAATGACAAAGTTCTGCGTATGTATTATATTTAATCCGAGAGCGTTGTACTGGATGCAAAAACATACTTATTTGTTTAAGATAATGGAAAACAATACGTAAATGACAGTGAATAAAGTGTGTCAATGAAGTCACATTGTAGGTATATATATATACCTACCTAG